AAATAAATGTGACCCTCAGATGCCTGCAAAAGTGTGAGCACCTGAGAAATGTTAGAAAAGAGCAAAGAATTTCTTGCCGCAAAGCAACTCGGAGGTGTTTTAACTTAGTTTCACGTCAGAGAGCACTAGTTATTCTGTTTCTGAAGCCGCCGCACACAAAGTAAAAAATGTCTCCTGTCTCCCTTTTTATGAAGTACCGTACAGAAATAGAGCTCATCCATCCACCCTACGAGTGTTATCTGAGAAGGTTCGTGAATAATTGATGCGGACAGAAATTCCACCCCACTTGGGAGGGTTGTGGATGTACAGGAACCCCCACCTTCTCCTTGCCCTTTCTCTCTAGAGCTCTGCCACTGTGGTGGGTCAGTGCCCACTTAGATGTGAGTGACTGAACCAGTAAGTGACTTGGTCAGTCACCCTGTGTTCATGTGCCACCGAGGCCTCACTCTCAGGAGCATGTCCTATCTGTCACTTTGAATCCCGACCTCATATATAATTAAGAATATGGAGCTATTTTACAAGAAGCTCAAACCCTCCCTGCCAAATGGCCGCTTTATCCCGCTTTGGCAGATGTAGGATGGGATAAAAGTATTGATTATCCCCTCCAGGGCTCCACGTCATTGTCGAAACATCATTTAGCTACAGCTGCTGCTAGCCTTGCATTAAAGCCAGTAAATATTTTGAAGTAAAAATCAATAAGTAGAAAAACGGCTTGACGGATTTGGGATACTTTTTTAAGACTTCATTACCCTGACACATATATGAATGTCTGTATCGTATTGATGACAGAGCGGCCTGTGACAGCTCAGCAGAGGTTGTTAAATCTGTTTTCCGAGACAGGAGTCCCTTCATCTCTCCCCACTTGGTTGTTATTCATGCATAGCTAGTTCATAATAATACCTATCATGCACAAGCTCTGATGAGCCAACGGTAAGACATAAAGCTGACTCGCACTTGTTTCTGTCTTTAACGTGTTTTTGATTCTCAGCCGTTGAGAATGATCACAACAGGAGGGAGGAATTTTCTGCCAGTTGTCAATTTCTTACTGTGTCTTCATGATACGGCCAACCAATTACAGCACTGTGGATGAAAATGAGCTCAGACTGTTCAAGTTGCTCAAAAAACCAAAAAAATGACACATAAATAAAAACTAATTCAACTCTAAACGAATTAACCAGTGCAAACCTTCCCCTGTCTGACTTTCTGTGAAAGGTCTTTTCCCCTACAGAATGGAATTATATGTTTTATTTCTATTCAGTAACAATAGTCGCAGTGATAAATTCGCAGACATTTGACTTTTTTCAAGAACAACATTAGCTAATCTTGAATGAACATGTTTTATCAGAGCAATTAAATGAATGACAGGATAACAGGGTAAAGCTGGCTGCAGAACAAAAAAATTTGAGGCACTTAAGATGCTTTCGCCTCTCATTCGTCATTTAATACCATATGGAGCGTATCTGATCAGTCACGAATTCATTGTGCAGATTAACCCCAAGCATACAGCGAGGGTCATAAAGAGCCCTCTCCAGTGACAAGAAGGGCAGGCAGTCCGGCAACAGATGGTTTGGCCCACACACAGCCTTTATCTCCATATCGTGGAGCCAGTCTGGGATTACATGAAGAGACTGAAGCAGCTGGATCTGCCAAACCCACAGAACTGTGACATGTTCTTAAGGATGTTTTGAATAGCTTACCTGAAAACTGTCACCAAAAAAATATCCAACTATTGCTGCTTATTGTACTGTCTGTAGCAAGAAATTGTCCTTACATTTCTACGTATTATTCCACTTATTATTTGGTATATTAGGCTATGTACACCTTCATTAGTTTAGCTTGTTTGTGAACCAATGTTTACTTTGTTTTCTGTCCATATTATATAATGATAACTTTTCACCCGTCCTGCATTGCTGCTTTCCCTTTGATCTGGCCCTTAAAGTTATCATCAAGCATAAGAAAATATCTGAAATGACTCCATGCAGAAAGGTCAGCTCCTCCTGACCCTCGGTGGAGCATTACTACGCCGTACACTGCATCTGTGCTGTAAAAGCCGTGGAAAATTAACAGTTCCAAGACCTGGACGTTAAACTGGATGAAGTAACGCTGTAATGCACAAAGAAATCACACAGGAGAAATAGGTCAGACGGTGCTGGGAGATTCTACGAGCAGAGTGTTGACTCTGATCAGTTAAACAAACATTCGTAGCTTTGATTAGAGAAATGGCTACAGGGATTGTGAATTACTTAGCTGTGCTAACTGTAAACATAAAAGATCTTAGACCAAATTGTCAAAAGTGTTTTGTCTTTACGTCTACTGGATTAGCCTTGAAGCCTTTAATACAGCTGTAGATTTCATTTAACATCCCATTGACAAAGACTTCTTCTGAACAAGTCTCTGGTTTACTGAAAAAAATATTTTTTAACAGTGTAGATTTTTGAACAGTCTTTGAACATCGAGTGACTAATAAGGGAGAAGGACCACCCCTCAGAGTGGTTTCACTCCCTCATGGAGTGCCGCCTCACAAGTCCTGGACTGTAAGTAATTGGATGTTTACCCTCCATTGAGGAAGGAAAGCTTTGAGGGATGAAGAAAGTGGAAATCCACTTCGCTCTCTGCCCACCAGGATGTCCCATAAAAGCTCAGCGATGTTCAGATCTGCTGATTGAGGAAGTGATGGAGGCCATTTGACGTCAACCTGATGATTATGGTCTCACTCTCGAATGTGTCTATTGGTCTGTTTCGAGACGGCATCATTTTGCGATATAAAGGAATATCAGGCACCACGGGGTGCACGTGGCCTTCGGATGACCCCCCCATACCTTACCTTTTCACACACTGTAACCACGCGGAGATATCATCAGACATAATGGCTCGTGTGAGATTGAAGGCCATTGAAGGCATCATCTTGCTTTTTTAAAAAACTTTTTATCGTCGACATCATACATCTGCCTTTTACTCAGCTGTCCTGATTTTCACACTCAAAGGCAGATATAACCATAATAGAAGACCGAGTCTCTGCTTGGATTCAGAAGATTTACAATAGCTTTTAAATGGAGGTCAATTTTCACAAGGAGGGAAAATATCACATTTTGCCACCTGTCAATTTTTGACTTTCTAAAAGTTTTCTTAATAAATCGTTGACACGTTGCACGTCCGCAGTAGCACTTTGCTTTCAGTTAAGCTTTTTTCCCCTGCCTGTAATCTCCCACCCCCAGGCCTGACGCTGGGCAGCCAGAGCTGTGACAGTCCCCTAACCGTTCGGTCCGTGTGTTTTGACTGTTCGGCTGGGAGTGGGAGCCGGAGTAAATGAATCACGCTGTTTCCTTTCTTCAGTCTGCCAGTCAACTGATGGAATCCATTCACTGGTGAAGCTAATAGCAGCTGTACACCTCCCCTCCACACACACACACACACACACACGGGCACACCCCACACCCACAACACTCGTCCCTGAAGGACAGTCACTGCCGGTGCGTCCCGCCCACACCCCCCCGTTATACCTACGAGCTTAATATAGATGGGAGATATATAGGAAAGGTCATAACCGGCCAGCTTTTCTGCTTTGTGTCACAAACGCTTGTGCGCTGAAAACATAAACAGTTGTTAGCTGATTGTCAATCTGCGGGCTGTTATTACAGTGATTAAACCCTGCTTTGGTGCGCGGCTGTGTGCTTTTTTAAAAATGTTTTTATATAAAGATTTATTGTTGGTCGATTGTAAATAGAAATGAGAGAGAGAGACCCAAAAACGAGAAAACAGAAAAATCCTAAATGCGTCTGCAGTCAAACACAGTAACACAAAGCTTTCATGCTTTTGAATGAATGTAATACACACCTAAAGACTATTTATTTATTCTTTTTGTCCGATTGGAAAAATGGTCAGATACCAACAGTACTAATCCCTTTGGAGCAACAGAAGACTGGAGCGATAACCAGTAATTACTTCAGATCTTTCTTGTGGCTTGATCTTCATACCACAAAACCAGAGCAACTCCTGACTTCTATATTGGGGCTTTTTCAATAGTAACTTACCAGCCTCTTTTTTAAAACAGGTGGGGTTGACTTAAAGGAGTGGCTTACTGAGTCATGTGACCAGTCAGAGGTCAGCAGTCTGCCATCAGCCCACAACCTCTGATGGAAATGCAAAAAAAAAAAAAGATTAAAGTCGAATCGAGCTGCACTGAAGAGTTTTGGGAGAAAAACCCCCATAGGTCAACACCTGTCCCTGTAACCCACACACCAGCTTAAGATCAATGCTTGTGTCTCAACCCGGTCATTCCTGTGAGCGTCTTCCTCTAATAGATACTCACACACTCTTTTCACAGACAGTGCTTCTTATAACGTATTGGAGTTTTTGAATGTCTAAAGGCTCCAGTGCACAGTAGCATAGCAGCACAGGAAGAAGCCTCTCAGTAAATATGAAAACCACTGGTGTTGATTAAACTCCATCATGTCAGAATCCACTTCCACTTGTGTGTTGAATAAACCCCTGGGTGCTATTTTAATGCACTAAATGGTAACTTTACTGACAACAAAACCAAGGCGGGTTAATGGGGTGTCCCTTTTCTCAACAGGGCACAATGGTTCTCAAACGTATCCTTTCATGGTCTTAGAAGTGTGGTTGGCCACACAGTACTTTTCCGAACATAATATTGCACCGAGTTCATAAAGTCAAGACTCCTTGACAACTTAGGTAAGCTGTAATACTGAAAAACTACCTGCGATCGAATTGAGAAGCTGTTCTGTAACTGCTCGTAAGCTGTTTGTGGGGTTCAAATTCAGACTCTAATATGTTCCATTCGGCCATATTTGAATCTCTATGCCCACGATCGCTGACCCCCCCCCCACTTCTAGCCCCTGTGTGTGTTTCTGCACCAGGTGATCTCCCACACACTCACCGCCACAGATCTTGGCTCCTGACTGGTTTTAAATCTACGACAAAGCAGCCCCTCGCCCTGAATATCAAAGACTGGTATCTGAGAGCATGTAGGCATGACTCACACCTAGCTCCGTCTCACTCCCAGCAGGCCACCTAAGCGTCCGACTCGCTAGAAGTGTCAGGGGTTACTGGAGGACGCTGATCAGACAGAAGTCGGCCGGCGTTTGCCACCCAGCCATGTGAACATATGAGAATCCCAGCAGTGCGCTGCCATTTTCTAACACACCCATTTTGTCCCCTCCCGTCCCCCCTGCTTCCACCCCGGGGGGTCATTCTCTGGCTATAGGAGTGCCCGTGCTCTCTTTCAGCACAATGTCAAGCCTTAGCAGGCGAGCGTAGAGGGCAGAGCGGCTGTGACAGCCACAAAGTGGCCGAGGGAACTGTGTACTTTAGCGCGGTCTCCTTCAAATAAAGGGGGCCGCCAACAGCAACAAATCACAGCTTTTTCCAATGCGGCGACTTTTCTCCGCGTGACGGAGAGCGTTTTCATTAGTTGTTCCCTTTTTTTTACATGTCTTGCTCTCTGCTGGTTATGGTTGTACACAGCTTGTTACACTATTGATTCAGCCCAGAAAAAACCTCCAGGCGGAAAGTTTTTTCTCCGCTTTTGGCAACTCGCGGCCTCGCGTTTTCCGTGCGGAAACGCGCGAACGGTCATTTCAGCCACTAGGAGCCCGTTAGGAGTGGCCCGCCCGTCTGTACGGGCGCCAGGCTATACCTTGGTAAAAAGTGTGTGTGCGGCGCTGGCACCGGCCGGCCCGTCTTGTGTTGCGCGGCGAGCCAGCATGACATGTGAATCGCAGCAGCCGAGAAAGCCCCGCTTAAGTGGAGGCAGTGGGGAGATGCAGGCCAGAGCCAGGAGGCAAACAGACAAACAGATGGACAGGCCCATGCCAAGCAGGCAGCGGAGCAATAAGATGGTGCGGCATGGTGAATGGATTCAGCCTACCAAAGAACAACCAATAGACACAAGACCATGCCACCCTTGTCTTGCTCTCGCGCTTCAGAGTAATTCCGGGAGATAGGATAGAAACACGGTAAATATTGCTCTCATCTTCCTCCTTTTTCCTCAAATGCCCCCCGTCTCATCCCTCGTTTGATTCGTGAAATGGACCAACCTCCGGGTGTGAGAAATAAATGCAGGAAAAGACGGGTGCTAGCAGAATTGGACCGTTGATCACAAGAGACCCCAGTAAAGATACACAAACCAAAAAAAAAGACTTTATTTTAAACACTTTTTTCAACCTAGGATTTCAAACTGATCCATAATAACCCTTTAAACTGAAATGAATAGATTTGAATGTATAATATAACACACAACCACACTTTGTTACGTGTTTTGTTTGTATTCTCCTGATGCTCTGTGCACATGCTAACCGGAGCAATAGCCTTTGTTTTAATGCTGGAAGAGTATTATTGCAAAGTTCCCTAAGACTTTCCTCTGAACTGCGAGGTGCTGATTGACTCAGCCTTGTGTCTTTTGTTCCTTCTATGGAGAGCATCTAGCTGTGTGGGAGTCGGGCAGAAAAACCACCTTTAAGAGCTGACAAACAGCCCCGTCAGATGTCTCTGCCTGTGTACCCGCACTGTCTAATGGTTTGTCTCTTGTGTGTTTGTGTGTGTACATGTGCATATCGTGCGTGATTGTTTGTCCGTCTACATAGGTAGAATGTAAGAAGGCCCAGCCCAAGGAGGTGATGTTCCCACCAGGTACGCGAGGGCGAGCCAGGGGTCTGCCCTACACCATGGATGCCTTCATGCTGGGGATGGGCATGCTGAGTGAGTCCCGCACCGAGCCACACCCGCACTGACAACACTGATCTTTTAATTATCTGTTAAGCTCGTAATTATTGCCGAGATATACCCATCCAGCAGCAAGTGAATAAAAACCGCGATTTCCAAAGGGTGGCCTTTCCTTTAACGGGAAATTCAAACGTGTCAGACATTCGCAGCGTTCAGTCATCAATTTTCTAACGGCTAAAAAAAAAAACAACCTATGCAAACTCTCATCTAGAAAGCCCCATTAGGTGGGCGCTGCCCCTAATTAGGCTGCTTCAAGGTGTGCCACCAGTGGCCACTGTGGTCTATTTCTGGTGGAGTCTGGTACAGGCAGCCCCTGGGCATATAGGAGCAGACCAGCACATTAGCAGGCTAAATGAAGAGGAAAATTGGTGTAATGTCATATTAAGGATTCATCACTGTGCCCCCCTTAATGGGTAATGAAGGGGACACACATGTCAGAGAGAGATCTCATCTACAGGGACCTCAGCTGCTGGCCCACCCCTCTTCATTACCATTGAGCCCATGCCTGTGTCCCTTTTTATTTAACACTATAGCACTCTCTTCCTCCCTGCCCCCCATCCCCCCTCTATCTATTTGACTATCTATCTGTCTGGTTATCTATCTTGCTATCTATTTTGTCACCCACATTCCATATGCATATAATTTGATTGTATGGCAAAACCAAATGGATTTGCCATCATTTAAGATTTTCTTTCCTGCGGCAAGCAGGGAAAGAAATTCATCTGATTGTGCGGTGAGGTACTCATTTTGCCCTGCAAGTATCCTCTCCCCCTCCTTTGTGAAAGAGGTGCATAGTGAGGCACCACTTTGCATTTTTATCCCCACCAAATAATGTCATGTTTAAAGTGGTTTTGAAAGTCACTTTTGATATTTATCTGTTTAGCATTGCCTGTCAAACTATTTTAGGAAAGAAATAAAATGGCAGCAAACTACCTATAAAAAATATTCTCGTATGTGTGTCTATATATATATAACTGGTATATATATATGTATACAGATATAACTGGTATATATATATATATATGTGTGTCTGTTATATTGATATAACAGACATATAATATGTCTATTATATTGATTTGTCTGCATAAAGTTGTTGAAACTGTTTTATAAAAACAGTTATTGCAGATTGCAGCTTGACCTTTCTATCAGAATAGTTACACGGTTGCTGGCGGTAAAAGTGTTTATAAGTTTGGCCAAGTGTGTCCGTCAACCGTAAGCCGTTCTCAGTTCCATCTCATCTGCTCGAAGTATTTAACAAGCACAGTGAACTTTTCAGAACTTATTACAGACTAATGCGTCTGCAAAGAAGAGAGCACTCTGCCCCTCCACTGGGAGACGGCGGGCAGGATAGGCAGTCATGTGCTCATGTGAGAATATTAACAGCCAACTTGTTTGGAGACACTCTTATCTAAATGAAATTGGAACAAGGACAGCGAAACATTCCTTTATATAATTTGCATTTGGAAAAAAGGGACCCTAGGCTCATTATTTAAGAAAGTGTAAGCTCCTTTTGTGCCAAATCTCATTAAAGCCATCCCTAGCTCCTTTGTTTACTGCCTCTAATCGGGGCATTTATCTTTATTGTGTTGTGGCGATGTATGTTTGCTGAAATTAATACACATTTGAGCCCGGGCGAGGTATGGGTGTACCAGATGGATAATTGATTTTAAAGTGAATCAGAACTGTTGAGCCATAAAATAGGTACATTAGCATGCATATTAATAAGGCAAATAAGAGCACTAAGAGGCTGCCACAAGGCCAGACACAGGAGGCTTTCTTTAGTAAAATGGTTGGAGAAACAACAAGTTAGATCCTGCTCTTTCTTTTTTCTGCTTTACTCCCACCGTCGCCTTCCTCTTCGTTTGGTCAGATTATGAATTCTGGTAATAGATAGATGGTAATAGGTAATAAATCAGCATGTATTCATGTATTTCGGTGCTCCGTCCCCTCACTTTGTTGCATTCTTCTTTGATAGTCTGCACAATTGGCTGCAAACTCTGCATGTGAAACCTTTTGTAGGGCAGTGCATCAGACAAAGAAAATGGCTTTTCCATCCCATAAAATGTTGAAACAAGGAAGAATAAGGATCTGCGGTACCTAAGTCAACAATTTCAGTGTGGCATTTATTCTGTTTGACACTAAGACAGCATCAAGCACATAATATCCAATACTTTGCTGCCTGAGATAGCTTTTCATTGTATCATATCACAGTTCTTTTCAGACCAAACAAACAATGAGGGGTTTTGTGAGAGCTATCCATCTGTAGCTTCCTAGTGATGACTTCTCATCAGCGGATGATAAGAACTGTTATTTTTTTCTGCCGTAGCCCCCTGTCCTACTTCACCCATACCAGGTTAAGGTTCCCCTCATCGCCTCTCGGAGCTGAATTTCGTTTTGTCTGCGAGAGAGGCTCTGGCTGAGGCGTTTTCCCATTGGGTCAGGAATAAATTGAACTTTTTCATGGACAGCAAACACTGATTAGATATTTATGACCAAGGTCAACCTTTCTGATTCCAGCTGGCACGGGCTCTGAAGCATACAGAACAGAGTTTCGACACACATGATCACACTCAGACATGTTCATCGCACAATAATACGCACGCATGCAAAATATATTTCCCCACTTCTTGCTGCAAACACATAGGAACATATCATCTCTGGACACTGTATGAATAAATAGCTCGATACTTTCTCCATAAAAGGAGTACTTTGCGTGAGATATCCAACTTAGCTGTATTTAAAATCATCTCACTAGGATAGAGAGGTTACTTTTATAGCATATGTTTTCTGTGGGGGCACCAAACCACTTGAGCCTAGCTGAAATTCAGACATGAAAATGATGTTATTTTTTTATGAAAAAAGTGGAGTGGATATCTTTTTCTAAATTATATCATCTGCAAGATCCCTGCCTGAACTCTTTGGTAGAGTTTTGATTTTGACTGAACGGCCTCATGGTATTTTAAGAACATGTTGGATTTCTTGGATATAGTAGCAGCTGGTTAAGTTGTGAAACGTTCTTAGAGGAGTCGAAATGATGGAACCCCAGGGGATCACCTCAAACATGTGTTATAAAGCCTTAACAAGAACTTCCAAGTGCAAAACAGAGATTTACTTTAGAATCTAAAGAGGCGAGAAATAAAAGATTTATTCACAGAGAGCACATCATTGAAAGAGCTATAATGGTAGATCAGATAACTGGAACATAAGACAGGACTATTTTAGTATGTTGTGTATGTATGTGTTTATTATAAATGTCTTTAGTTTTGGTTTTAATTTGATTTAATTTGATTTTAAGTATTCATTCCAATTTTAATTTTAATGCTAATTACATTTGAAGCCCCAAAATTTATATTTTAAAAATATGTTTTATTTTAAAAAAATCAAGGATCACTTGTGGATTGGTGTGTATCTGGTCTGTACACGTTTGCATATTTTTGTATGTTTGTTTTCTTCTATTTTTTTTTACATTCAATTGTTGTGGTGTTGGTCAGGATGTGTGCTCCACGTGTGTCTATATTATTAAAAACATGATATAGAAACCAGAGCAGGCACTTCTTTCCATATTTATCTATAGCCTTCAAGTACCTGAGCAAACTTTGCTCTGGTCCAGGAAAGAAGGGATGCAAAAAGCTGTTAATCTGTTGCCATGGCAATGGTTGATGAGACATTTGTGTTATTTAAGTAGAAAATGACCCTACATTTTCTCTTCAGTTGTTTTATTTTTTCATTTTGGATGTTTAAATTGATGCCCTTAGTGTTAAACCTGTGGACACAACACCTGAAAAACCATTTGGATTAAAAGATGAGGTGATGGAGCACCACTACTACACACTCCAAACATTTGTAAAAGGTTTTGTGTACATATGCTCCGCGAAAAATTTGTTTGAAGCTATTTAGATGGTAATATAGCTTCGCCCCTTTTTATCAGGCTAGTGCTCAGCTAATGAGAAATGAGAACAGATAAGCCCAAACAAGGTTTCAAAGATCAGTTTTCTGAGGTGAAACCTGCACACAGAGAAGGCAGTTACCAAGACAGGCTCCTCTGATTCATTCCTAGCCTAAAGGACTTCGTCTTACTCTGTAATTTAGTCCAGACTTATGGTTGACAGTGATAATAGCTAGAGGAAAACAGATAAAGACTCTAGCATGTACCATAATTAGAGGGTTAATTATGTTTGTATTAACTTTGATGATGCTCCAATTCTCATGGACTTACACTCGGGTTCAATAACTCACCCGCGTGCTGCTCTCTAAATTTGATGTTCTGACTACACCCCCCCTTCTTAGCCGCCCAGACCCTCGGACCCCTTTTCTCAATATGTTCCCCACAGCTGTTTTTGTCTGAAAACTGTCCAGCTAATTAACTGCCGGGTCTGTGTTAGTAATAGGAATCGTGACAGTAAATGAACAATACATCTGCTGCTCTTGTTTTTTCTTTTTAATGACTATGGATCCCCTTTTGTCCTCATTGAAACTCTTCAACCACTTAGGGAATTTTTAAATCTGTCAAGTCATCTATGCCGTCAGCAAGTTTTCTCACTCAGAAGCTGAAGCTACATTTTGTTTTGGTCGTGTAAACAAAATCACATATTGGATCACTAGGATTTCTAGGGGTATGTGGTTAAACGTGTATGTGCAACTTAGTTTTAATTGCCAGCTTTTATTCAGGAAACACCTCAATAGAAAATTCAACTTGATTCGACTTACATTAAAGAGCTGCAGTAGATTTTTTTGATTTGGATTTAAAGCATGTTTTAAATCTGAATCCAGCTTTTATGTTGAAGTGAAGCAAATACAAATGAAGTTTGGACTATATGAAAAGATTATATGAAAACTCACAAATTCAGTTGTTTTCTCAAAGGGCCCCTGTTGAGCTTCCATGAATGTGTTCAAGTTGATCGATTTTTACATTGTGTAAGATTGTGTAGAGTCATGTAATGACTGGATTTTGAATCATCAAATCTTCCACTCTTGAAAGAGTGATTTCTTTTTCCTTTTTACAATGTGGGCTCCAGTTTTAAGAGCCTCGCCCATTATTCTTCTAAGTTATAAAAACATTTTACTGACTGAATTAATCACACCGACTTCTCTGACAGCGATGTGGAAACAAAGTCCTTTAGGAGAAGCAACAAAGGAGGCACAATCAAGATTAGAGGTTAATGCAATTGTGAAAGCTGGCCATTGATTTAGGATGCTGCTTGTTGTTTAGCTCTGCACACGGTGAATGTTTTTCAAGTGACAACCCACCATCACCGTTATAAGCCGTAAAATTTCTTTATTAGGTTTGAAAAGTACATATAAATCTCTCTTCTATCTTATTGCGTTTGTCCTTTTTTTTTTAAGATGCAATGCTCTTTATTATTTTTGGATTGTATTTAACGTGGATGCTGTCGTTTTATTGCTGATGGGTAACATGAGAGCTTGTTTGGCAAAATGAGAATAGTTTATTAAGGCTCCGAAGGCTATCTTGTCAAGATTGTTTTCTCTTGTAAGTAGATTTCGACGGAACAAAATCACTAAATTTGTGTGTTTATCAGGGCTGTACTGCTATATTGTACAGGATAAACATTACATCTCATGCCAATCACTTTTATTCTTCTCTCTTTACCCAAGGTTACCCTAATATTGTGGCAACGTATGGCCGCGGATACACTGGATTCGCACCCAGCTACAGCTACCAGTTCCCTGGTGAGTAACAGACTCTCTTAAAATATGTGTTACAGTTATTTCTGCTTTCCTCTTTCAAGCAGCACAATCAGACACACGCGCAGAAACACCCACAAGCACCTCAGTCCACAAATGCACGAATGCTAATCTATAGACACGTCCGTCTCCAAATAATCTGCAGGCTTATGAGGATTCTCCGTGTTGGGATTTCTCAATGAGGGTTTGAAAGCTGACATATAGTGGAGTCGATTGCGCACTCCTTTTCTTCCTTCCTTCGAACACTACCATGACCAAACGTCTGAAATGGTGGAAGTTCTACCGTCTTCAGTTTGCCCAATGTATGCAAATTCATCCGTGGAGAGGCGGAAAAAATAAGCAGCCCCTTTGTGTCGGCAGATTTTTAAGTGGGGTTCTTATAATGGGAAAGAAAGTCATTTTCTGCATTAAAAGTGTTGCCTTAGAGTGCTGGGCACTTTGATGAGGGTCCAAATAGGAGGCGTGCAGTCTGGAGGTGAGCAGCTGTACCTGCGTGCTGCATGTGGCTCCCTGGTTCTTCACTTAGACAGGCATCCTGTCAATTTCACGCTTTATTTAGGCACCTTACCTTACTTTGTTTGCCATGCTGCCAGACATCATTCCTTCCACTGATAAGACGAAATGGAAAATATCTGACAGACTCTGAGATCTCCGTAATATCTTTGTGAAATAGATTCAGAAATGGTAAGACTGGGGTTCCAGCTGTGGCCACCTGCAGATCAGGCGTATGCTAGTTTTCTACTTGACCTCGGCATTATGTGGCAGAAGAGGAAGAATACGACTCAAAATACATGTCAACACAGACTCACACAAAAAGAGTAACAGCATAGGCTGTCCTTTAAAAATACTGTGAGTTCTTCATATACTTTCACCGTGTTTTCACTACAAACTGAAAAGTAGATTAGATTAGGCATCTTAAATGAGATTTAAGATTTCCCCGCGTGTGTATTTTTGGCTCTTTATGTAGAAATCCATAGAAACATCATAACATTTATGAATTAGATCAACAAAATTAGAGACGAGGGATGGATAGGCCAAGGAGAGATGAATATTTATTGAGTATAAGTGACTCTAGTTAAACATGGATTTTTAAAATGTTGGCTATTTACAACTAATTAAGGGATATCACCTTCCCTGAGGCGAAATGTATGATCCTGTCCATGTTAAAGTCAATTTAAAGAGTTTGATAAAGCTGAATGATTAAAACGGTCTCCGCAGGGCTCGCTCAACTCTTGACAGGTAATTGGAAATTTTAATGTATGAATCAAATTCCTTGTCTAAATTAAATAACCTCGGGCCAAATATTGACTCGTGTCTTTCCCCAGGAATATGTGGAAAGCATCCTCAGTTTAAGATCAAAAGCTTTTTTTTCTCACTGTACACAGTCTCGCTGAAACACTATAAATAAATGGAGCTGGGACCAAGCAGGCAAGATCCAAGAGGCATAAATTGTGCACTGCCTTTCAAAGCTTTTTTACACCCAGTAAACCTCAGGGGTCCTCTGTTAACAGAAAAAAATGGTTAGGCAATTGTTCAATTGTCAAGATAAAACAGTGATAAAACATTGATCAGTGATGAAACACTGAATTAAGTACGAAAACTCAATAAAACCTACGCAGAAAAAGAGAAATCAAAGCTGACATCTCCGCAGCTGAAAGGGAGTTCAAGTGTACAAAGCAGAACCTAACACAAAGAAATGTACAGAGCAGCATTCAGCACAGCCGGGAAGGGAAAACAGATGCCCCGCTCAGCAGCTCATAAACAGAACATGAAACCACTAGTTTAGCCGGCATTGATCAGAAAAATGTATTTGATGCCTATCACTGTTGTGTTGTGTGTTTGTCGTGTGGACTGATCTCACTCTAACAAAGCCTCGTTTAAAGTTTACTCCACCTGCACATTAACAACACAGCAAACTGCTCAATCTTCTTCATGCAAGTGTGCAGATATTAGAACATGAATCAAAATAAATGAATGTTAGACTGACATTAGCTGGCAGTCTGCAGATGTTCCTGTGTCAGTTGTAAGTTTCATGTGTTCAGGTGGTGTCATTTTTATCTCATGAAACAAGAGGAGAATGAGAACATATGAATATCAACTTCCTTTCTGTCCAAATTCAGTTCAATGTTCAGTCCAAATTCATGTTTTTTTACTCGGAAGATGCCCTCATATGCCACAACCTTCAAGCAGATGCCATAGACACATGCAGGTTACAAATAATAAGTACAAATGGAACATTATCTATCAAAGATTACTCCCATTTGTTTGAAATAAGAATTTTTTGATCTACAGATTTTCTCAGTGCATCCAACAACTGTCATATTCCAAGCATATGTTTGTCCCACTTTTTCGCTTTGACAGCCTGAGTTGTTACAGATAAAAGAATCAGAGAGGTGTTTGATTAAGATGCCTTCTTTGATTTGCGTACAGTTGTCATACTTTAAGCTCTTTTTATGTTCGCTCTACCAAATTACATGCCGTTTACCTTGTGACTGCATAATTCAAGCATAATGCCCTGAACTTCTCTTTGATTTTAACTTAATTCCGGAGACATCACCGTCTGCTGCGTGTGAGAGGTGCAAAAAATTAGAAGCGCTCCAAGAACAAGTTCTTTAGTGTTTTTCTAAATTATGGATAAAGGACTTCTACATGCATTTCCACTGCTTAACACTGACTTTTGTTGGTGGGGGTGAAAAGCCTACAGCAGTCATTTCTCAGTTCGTGTTTGCCGTCCTAGTGGATTTTGATAGGAGCTTTATGTACATAAAGACATTATGATATGTGATGGTGATATTAAACCGTTGAAAATTGAAATGACGTACAAAAGCCTTTCTCTTCCAGTGCAACACTCCCCAGAAGTTATGCCGTTAACTGTAGTTAGACAGTCCACAGTTTGGTTTCAAATCATAGCTTCCCCTTGAGAGGTACAGATAAGAGATATGTGCATGTTTTTTAGGATGGTATAAATAGATCAGCCCTTATTTTTCTCCCAATATATCTTGTGTAATTTTCTGAATTTATATTTAATCTCAGCAGAGATTACAAAATGCATCATGATTACCTGTGGCGAGCAAACATACGGTATGTTAATGATTATATCAGAACAGTAGGATGCCATTTTTTCCAATTTCCAGAGCTGAAATCACAGCTGTGAGTATAGTTAGAAACAGTGAAAGCAGAAGCCAAAAAGACATAAGGGACATTACTGTACGTTATTCTCATTTTTATGCAACTGTCTCATTAGCATTACCTCGCTGATAAATGCATTATTGTGTTATTCAGCAGGCATTGCCCTGGGGAACTTCCCCTAAGATGTGCTGCATTTCAACCAGGTGTCTATTTTGGAGTACTCGACTCGATTAAGGGGTTTGATGTCACATTCCAAGTAATATACAGTTTAATCACGGCCTTGCAGTACATTCAACTGTTGTTTACTCATCCGAGTTTACCTTAGACTAAGAGAGGATACAGTGAAAGATCCTTGTGCGTACGGTGCATAATAAAAATGCAAATGCCAGACGGAAAATGGTTTAGCAATAAGTGCAAGTTAAGCATATGCACTGTAGTTTATGTACATTGTCTTTTCTGCCAGCAGTGGCACCAAATAAAGCAGAAGAAATATGAAGAGGTTGAAGAATGGTAGCACACTCTATTGTGAATACGCCGTGTGCATGAATAAGAAGCTTGTCTGAGGAAAAAGTAATTAGAAAAGAAAATGTAGTGTGTATATGTGCATTATGCCAGTGAAAAAGCTGTAGAACGGATCATGAAAAGCAGGGATACACCCCTCATACATTCATCTTGTACCCCTCCATTGTTAACCAGTCCTGTATCCGTTCCTTTTTTATTCCACATACATAAGTGCACAATTGAATGTGCGCACACAGAAGTGTTGTATTCATAAAAAGACTGGGATTTTGTATATGAAGAGAAAAAGGCGGAGGTGGAGAGACTTCACCAGCGTCTTCTCCCCACTCTCCGGTCTTCCTGTGTGACTTGCTGCCTCCACAGCCGTGCCCTCGGAGCCTCCCCTGGCATAAATGACCATTATGGCTCCATTAGGGCTGCTACTAGGAGGTCATTAAGCTACTCTGAAAAACCTGGGATGAAGATGTTAGTGGGGTCCCATCAGGGTAGAAGCACAGATTGAGTGAGTGAAAGACAAAACACTAAGTCATCCACCTACTTCAGATATCTTGACAGACAAACAGCCATTCAGGTCCAGTGAGTCAGTCTCTTAAGAAGTAAGAGAACAGGGGCAGGGGTAATTAGGGAGTCGAAGGAGCAGGGGTGGGAGCAGCCAGGGTGTAGCGGGGACAGTAGGTAATTCTGGGTTACCACTTACCTTAACACTGAGGCTCTAATCTGTTTCTCATCTTCTGCACGCCGTCTACTGACCAGTCGGTTGTTGGTTTGGGAAACAGCACAGTGCAAAATGCATGAGACACTCCTTATTTTGACACAGGAAATTGAGAATTTTATTGAACCATGATCACAAACAGTGTTGAGGGAGACGGATGTTTTAAGGCAGAAGAAGAGTAAGCACGATTTCAACAAGCTTTAAAGTCAATATTTGGATTAACATTCTTAGTCTTATTCCCTCTTAGTGAGATTTCTTGTGATTTCTTTTTACGGAGTCGTCAGGAATTGTTTTCCGGATTTTCTTGAGGACATCCCAAGGCCCCTCTTTGGATGTTGGCTGCCTATTGTCGTGTTGTCTGCCATGTTGATCCAACAATAATGTCGAGGTCCAGACTGTGGGGAGGATCAGACCTGTTTAAGAATGTCTTTATTACGGCCAACTTTCACAATAGAAACCATTTTTGATGAGACCTCAGTGAATAGCTGGTGCTTCAGTATCTCTGTGTCAGGCTTGTGTTCTCCATGTGTTTGTGTGGGTTCCATCCAGGTATCCCGGCATTATCCCACAGTCCTGTCAACATGCATGTTTGGTTAACTGGTGACTCCAAATTGCCCATAAGAGTGAATGTGAGTGTAGTTTTCCATCTCTGTACGGCTCTGTGGAGGACTGGTGCCCCTCGCCTCTCACCCAATGACAGCTGGGATAGGCTCCATCCCCCTAGCAACCCTACCAGGAATATGCGCTGTGGAAAATGGATGGATGTGTCGAGTCTTTGATGGATTCATTCCTTTTTCATGAGGACATTAATTTTACAGAGGGCTCACCTGTGTAGGTATGTTTTGTCAGGCTGACACTTCCCTTGTCCAGTTTTCTCATTTTTTTGTTCAGAATCTCTGCACTCCATGCTGAGATATGGCAAGTTTTCAGCTAATTGTCTGTTTGCAATCTCATGTCTGAAACAGAAATGTTATTCCACTTCTGTCAGGACGAATACATTTTGGTATTTTCTCATAGATGTCACCAAATAAAAGGGAGCAAATACATCTTTGGCAGGCTGCTTGTGACAAAAGAACTAAAGATACTACTTGAATTAGATTCTTCACAAATTTCTGGTTTCTTTTATTGCCTGAATAGTTACTAGATGATTATTAAATAGGTTTACTAAGAAAGAAATGAGAATGTTACGGTACAGGGACTGAACTGAAAAAAAAGGAGCCAGTGTTTAAACAAAGACTTCAGATGGTCTTCAGAAAGTTTTTAACAACTATTACTCAAAACCACATTTAAAGATTAGCCATGTAAAAAATATGAAGACATTAGGGGAGCCTTAAGACTCGATTTCAAAGTCTTTCAGCTACTGAATGGGTCTTCCATCTGTTTGCCTCATCATGTTGCCATATTTCTCTCTTTCCATCTTTGTTCGAGCCCGTTCCCAGGGAGTTATGATGAGTGAAATGGCACCACAGTGGCCTCAGTGTCTTCATCTACATCACCCAACCATGCCAGAGGCAGAGCAGCGCACATCTTCCCAATTGACAGAAAACATTGTCTGAAAGGCATTAAAGCAGGGTGAGGCTGATTTCTCTTTCTGTGTGAAAGCAAACAGAAGTCAGCCCGGTTGGTGATTCTGGATTCCACTGTGTCTTTTGCTTACTAATAAAAGAAGCTCGCAGGTGCCCTGGCTGGCTAAGAGACTTGCCATGGGAACAAAGTGTTTAACAGCCACCATATGTTTGCATTTTCAAAATTATTTAACCCCTTCTTGCTTAAAGAATTATATTCACAAGCTTGTTTGGCGGAAAGAATAGAACTAAAGATTTCAGAGGAACAAATAGAATAAGATCCAAGTCAGAGCATAGACAGGATCTTTATAGCTTGGAATAACAGTGATAAGGAAGCCGCAGACCTGTTGGCCTCACTTTCACTGTCACAGTAGCATACAAAGGTACGAGGAGCAGCTGCCCCCTCAGCAGGAGGCACACATGCAAGGAGAAACGCTGACCTGTGCAATTGAGATAATAGTGGCTACCTCTGAGGGGTGACTGCCCCTATAAACTGGAGAAGAGCCAACCAACCATATAATAAATGCACCAGAGGTCACGCGCGGCCACTGGCCTGAAATACCAGCTAGCCTCCTGGAGTTAAGCCACTCTCTGCTGTTAGGAGATATATATTTATTGAGATGGATGATATTCTAGTGTCGAGCTGTGAATCTTTCAAGGGTTTTGAAAAGCAGGCAGTGAAGAGGGAAGATGGCTTTTTTGTGATAGGGTTACATGTCGAGTATCCTGAAAATCACTGAGATCTTTGTGAATCTTTGAGATTTTTGGTTGCTTTTTGACATCGTAATAAACACACACTCACACAAACACACACATATATATATATATTTATTGAGAGAGAGACAGAGAAAAAATGGAGGTTTTAAAGCCTGATTTCACAACACAGTAACGGTTAGGTTAGCATTGAACCTTGTTTGCTTGTAATTAAAAGTGCAAGAGATGAAAACTTTCCGTCCAATAAGACTCCATTCTTGTTAGCTGTAGCTAATTACTGTGTGGATGATAATGTGGGCTGGGACAGCGCGCACGGTCATTATCGGCCGATCTAAACCCCCTTAAAGTATTCAAACATCTTGTGTTTTCCATTCAGTACACATCTTGGCTACAGTGGCGGAGCAGGTGGGGAGAATCGCTGACCTGAGGCTGATGTGCCGCTTACCTGTGTCATGGTTGCATGCAGAATTGTCCTCCATAAGACGGATCCCACTGTTTGTGTCTTGATGGCACCCGGGAGAGGCTGGCACACACCGCACTCCATCCATAGAACAGGTTTCTATTGATCTCAAGTTGCACAGCAGATTGTCCCCCAGATCTTGTGACCATTTCTCTCCACGCTGGGTGAGCTGTGACCCCAGCAAGTGGTCCCCCAGGCCACAGTGAGTGCTGCAGGGCTGGAAGCAGATGGCCCTCCTGATGCCACGCCGACTCACAGATTGTCTTTAATTGCCAAGCCCGATCATTAGCCCGATGGGTCTGCGGAGGCCGGGGCCACACCGTGAGTCTCGGGCCTTAAAATAGGCCCTGACGATGAGCATCGTGATCTCACACACTCGAGTCCACCGCGCACGTCGCTCGGTAGGACGCGCGCTCAAGACACAAAAACGCGCAACACAACCCCGAGGCTCCAATCTGAAGGGCGAAAAGAGTGGAGGCATTACCCGGGACCTCTCCGTGCTCCTCTGTCCGCCTCCGTGACTCACCGTCTCCATCGCAATGCTGATTGAGCGCACACATTCACAACATACGCACAAAAAAAATTAAAAAACACGCAACACACATCCAGACTCTCCGAGCTCCCCGGGCCACGACTCCATTCCCAGTGACAGCAGCGATGTTCTGCCGTGACGTCAGCCAGCAGCCCAGTGTGTCATGCCCTGTCTACTCCTGCGTGTGCAGTCATTAATCCGCGCTGCTCCCAGATCAGCTTTGTTCTCCATTAACCACTCTCCGTTGTGTGTGCCCGGGCTCCGCTGTCAGAGGCAGACATTATCAGAGGAATGCGCAGCAGCGTTTCATCAGAACGCTTTTTAAAAGGCAAGCGGTGGTTTTTCCAGAACTTATTCGGGTTGTCGTTTTGTTTGTCGGTGCAGATGAAGTGTACCGGTTATACATCCAGAAAGATCACAGCCTATAGGTGCATGCATCTCTGATGTAAGCACCTTTGCCACATCTTCGCGAAAAAGCGACTACTGGCCCCCTTACACAGGCAACGCCGAGGTGAAGGAGAAATCTCACCTCATTTACCCGGGTTTTAACTCACCGTAGGACAGCAGACACATCCTCACACACTGAGGCGGGCAGGCCGTGGCCATGGAGACCCAGAAGTCTGGGCCCCCGTGGCGGGGAAGATGAGAAGCTGTAAGAGGCAGAGTGGCTACGCTAAAGCTCATTATGTCTCAGCTGCCGAGCCGCTGGTCTCGAAATGAAACTCGAGCCGTCCTGCTTCGTACATGGCCGCCACCTTTGGTCACCGCTGGAGACCAGCTGCAGAACAGAGAGGGAGCAGAGGAGGACAATATGTGCGTCTGTGAGACCGGGCTCTGTGTCTGCTTGCCTGTTGTTTTGATGCCGCCCACTGTTCGAGAAGCTCCAAGCCCAGCAAGTTGGTTACTTGCAGGGGGCTTTACTCAGTGGCCCCCACCTATTCATCCACGCTTCCTCCCTCCTCTCAGGCGTACTGTGATAAAAGCTCTCCAGTCGCTCGACTCTTCCCTCTTCCTTATAGAGCCACATATGCATATGAACCTATACGTGTAAACGTGTAGCCTACCCTCCCCCCCCGAACCCTCAATGTAAAAACACTGCTCACGACTTCAGTGACCAAGTGCAAGCTAGTGTTGCAGAGCTATTTTTGGGTCGTGCCACGTTTTACCCTACTTGCCCCTGGTATCTGGAGCAGGGCTGGATTGTGTAACTATAGTACACGGAGCCGGTTAAAATAGAATGAAATCTGCAGACACTTAGCTTAAAGCTGCTCAACATGGCAACAAAGCTCCCTCTTCTTGAAACCGGACTCGGTATTACTTGCATTAATAGACTCTGTTTGATAATACTTTTTCAGTGTGAATTAGTAATATGCATGCTCTTAGAAAGTATTCCGATCACTGAACATCTACTAAAACACACTTAGCTCAGATGATAACATGCCGCTGTGTGCATGTACTTTCATTTAAAAGGAGCT